AGACCGCCTACCTAATACGCATGCTGGAAGCCAGATGCCTGTGCAGGCAAGCGGTGGGCCGTATCCCGAGCTAATAGGGATACTTTGTACGGGTACAGATGCATTGGGTGATGGGAAACTGCAAAGTACAGATATGGCCAGTACCTACACTATGGAGTAGTGAGTGGGGTTACGTGAGAGGAATTTGCTTGGTGCTTGTCAAGGCTCAAGAGGCAGAACTCAGGAGTCAGGAGCTTGACCCTGTGGAGACCGCAATGCACAATCTTGAGGCCACAGCTGCGCCTCTCCCCATCTTCGAGTAGTAGCCTATGGGTTGCTCCCAGTTGGCACCTGGATCTGCCGCTGTTCATGGATGAAGCGTCAACGCTGCGTTGCGGTGTACGATGGATGGTGACCACCTCCCTATTCCGCTGTGGTCAACCATTTGGATCAGCAAGACTACGACAAACAACTCTCGATACTGAGAAGAGCCTACGCAGTCACGGCAGTGTGTACGCCCAAGAGGTGTTCGGCGGGTCATGAGGGAAGGATTAGATATTGGATCTGCCACAATGGAGGAAGGATCAGCTTGTCCCCCCTCCCCCTCGATCTGGACCAGCCTGACGGGTGACGACAGATGGAGGGGTCAAAATCCATTACGGAGTATGTGCCTGGAAGAACTTGGAATAGGTAGACGGGATAGTGAGGTGACACAGGTCGAGGGAGGGGCAGAAATGGTTTAATGAGGTCGACGTTGCTGCCACGGTTGCGTGCTGTGCTGTGCGTGCTGCCGCCTGCGAAAGGCACCTACCAGGTTCGAGGCGAAGAGGGGCGCGGTTGACTTGCAGTTGCTAACCTTTCCACACAGGGTCCTTTCCTCCACATTTTACTGACTTTATCCACTAAATGACGCCGTATCTCCAGCGGATTCTCAGCGCCTGCAGGGCAATTGTAGGAGCACCGGGGGGAGCAGACCGCGAAAAGGCGGTGACGGCGCGCCGGATGAGGGATAGCGCCGTCTCGCTACCCACTCTCAGCGAACCAGAGTGCCAAGCAATGGCAGCAGTGGGCAGGCACGCAGGGCCGCAGATTCCCACACCTTGAGACCCCACCAAAACGGGAGACTTTCAATATGGAGAAGGAGGCACGGAGGAAAAAGTTTGGGCGACAAACGGCAACAGCCAGTAGGTACGTATCCCACACTACGTACCTACAGCGTAGCAGCCCACCAAAAAAAAAAAAAAAAAGTTCGATTGGGTGCTCCACACCCAAGGACGGGGCGACTGGGGGAGCCATATTATTTTCGGAATCCCGGTGCCTCTCATCCTCTTCCCTCTTTTTTTCCTCTCTTCCATCTCAACCATCAAAACCAATTTAACCCCACGAGACAACGAAGTCGCCCTACAACCTTGAAAAGAATCTAGAAACAAACACAAACTTCGTCGAGAATCATGTCCGCCGCTTTCGCTGAGCTGTAAACGCCCACTGCGGAGGTGCCCCTGCGCAGGCACCTCTGCAGTCCAGCAGCCCATCGAGACATTCAATCCATTCTGTTTCCCGACGAAGTTCAAACAGGCTTTCACTGTCCAGAGCCCTCATTGAGAGGACGTCTCTGGCCCATTGACGGAAGTCTGCATCGCTTTTCACTAGAATCGATCAACAAGCCCACTATTCACCGGGCTACGAGAAGCCTATTCGCTTGAAGAAAATATCTTCACCTCCACCTAATCCGACTACCACGACCCCTCCCTCTATCCGACCCCAGACACGATAATTCAGTCGCCCTAGACCTACCTACAAACAAGGCTCACCAAGAGAGCAAATTACATACAATACACAACTATACACATTGTTGGGCATTCGCACGGCATTGATTAGCGCCGGTTATCCAGACAAACTCCCACCCCTCCGAATACTACCATATTGGGTTTCAACCCCTGCCTAACCACCACCAACCATGTCACGCAACGTTCGCAACAAGGCTTCTTCGGCCTCGAGGAAAGCCGCCAAGCGTCGCGACTCTATTACCTCTTCGTCGTCCTTCGACCTGTCTGACGAAGGAGGATATTCTGCTGTCGAAGATATTAGTGATTCTTCTGACGATGACGAGGAAGATGTCGACGCGGCCGAGGAGGAACATATTCTCCACGAGGTGCTACCTACCCCCAGCATCCCGATTCCTCCCCGGCCGCCCATCGTCCAAGAAGAAGAGGATGATGACGATGATGATGATGACGACGAAGAAGAAGACGAAGAGGAGGAGCAGGAGCAAGAAGACGAAGACGATGGCGCAGCAGATATCGAGGATGCCGCCAGTTGGGATGGCATCATGTCAGAGGTTGACGAAAGTGCTGCTTCTGATCACCACCACCGTCCTGCGGAGCGCCACGTGCGCTTTGATGTTCCCTCGAGTGATTCCGACTCCACCGATACGGAAGATGATCATGCCGATTTCTTCCCCGACATCTTTGTCGATCAGAGCTCTCTCGATCCGGCCTTCCGTCGCGAGATTGAAAAGGATGATGAAAACGACGAGTCTGAAAACTCAAATTCATTCTGGGACTACCATGGCGATTATCATGGAGCCTATGGGTACGCCCCTGACGCAGACTCGGATATTGAGGCTGTCGTTCAGGAACTCGGCGATGATGATACGCCAATTGCTACTCCTATGACCACCGGCGAACTCTCTGAGATGCCCACTCCGGTCGCAGCGCTTGAGGAAACCCAAGAGCTAGACGGCTATGAGAGTGAGTTTGCTCTTTGTGACAAGAATCATGAGAATGTGTGATTGCTAACTCGCCCAATTAGCTGATGGTGATACCACTGAAGAAGATGAGCCGGAGCCAGTTGTCCGCCGCAAGATTAAGCGTCCCGAACCCTCCGCGGATCAGTGGGATGATTCTGACACGGATCATCCGGTCAAGGGCCATCGTGGACAGCCGCGTGTCGGCCGCTTCAACCTCGACAACTCTGAGCGGAAGCCCATTGCTGTTGTGAACCCCATCTCACGAAAGATGATGATCTTCACTCCCCATCGTCGCCGTCAGCTTGATCTGTCCCCCGAACAGTTCAACTTCCAATTTCTGGCCCCCATTGATGAGAACCAACCCTCTCCCATGATGAGCAGTTCTGCACAGATTATGATGAGTGCAATGTTCTCATCCAATACCTTTGGTGACTACCTCAACACTCAGGCCATGGGACCTACCGAGGCCTTCTTCCCCTTCCAGTCCGAACCCAATACTGCCGATGAGAGCTCGGATGTTGGATTCGATGAGGAGGAGGATGACGAGGTTGAAAAGTCTCTAAACATCAGCGACTTCATCGAGTTCGATGAGGGCCGGTCCTCTGCGGATGAAGACGAGGACAACCAGTGGGACGCCGATCCCCTGAACTCTACCCCTGCTCGACCACGCACCGCTTCCAGCGATGTTGACCTCCACTCCCACATCAACGCCACCAACGTGGGAGCATTCCGTCGCGACCAGATCAACCAACGTCTCATTCTGAGCGACAAGGCCACGCAAGACTCCCTCGCCCTAAGCAGTCCATACAACTACACTGCCCTGCGTGGTCTCAAGTCAGATCGCTTCGAAACTGCAGCCGTTCCCTTGACGCCCCTTCGACGATCCAAGAAGCAGATGCGTGACGCAGCGCGCAGTCCTCTAGAGTCCATGTCACAAAAACGCAAGGCATCCAGTGAGATGCCCATGGGCCACAAGCGCCATCGCAGCATCTCGGATGTCAACTTGCTACACATCTAGCCGATGCCGTAGCGTTTGACTTATCCGGCATGTTTAATGCGACAAAAAACGGTTGAGGATGGCGTGGCAAGGTGTCCTCAAGTAATAGGCACCTGCCATCCCTGGCCTCATACACATTGGCTATCGGTGCCCTTCTTGTTTCCTTATGTTACACATTCTTACACTTCCCGTCGAATCGACGGGAATGACGGTAGACAAAAGCGCAAAAGTTATAGACCTTGAAAGCAAGTGTCTGAAGAGCGAACAAAGTCAGCCCCATACAACCGACCAATTCTTGTTGGTGGAAAGAGTCTCCCTCTCACGGTCTGCAGCGGCAACCTGTTTCCTAGTTTCGTATCAATGAAAATCATGATCTCCTACCTTGTGCCGTTACCGTGTGTCTGTCTTGCATTACCTATTCAATCCTGTGACGATATTGGTCCGCGCTTGGGAGCCGTAACGATGGTGAGATAAGACTCTAGATTTGCGTTTGCTCTGCATGAAGATATGTCGAAAGACATCAAGTATGTACAAGAAAGAATTCATCATCCCGTCTTCTCAACCCCGCCCCAACCTCACAGCAGTCGTTCCTCATTATAAATAACTCTTTCAATCCCCTCGCTCATAAGTATTCCAGCCGGTCGATGCATTGACTCAGCTGTAAGCGTCAATGGCATTGTTGAACGCCGTATCAATCGGCTCAATCAGCGTCTTAGCGAAGGCCTGCAACGCCTCGGGGACCTTCTCAATGACAGCCGCGCTGAACTTGTCTGTCGCGCTCTGCTCCGACTTGAGGTTGAGCAGAATGACCGGGCTCAGCAGGAGCTTGTCAAACTTGGGCTTCGCGTCAACGACGGCGGTGAGCGTGGTCTGCACGCCGCTCGACAGCTTCTGCGTTGCCTGCGCCACCCCGATGGCCTCGAGGGCGCTGAGCGGCTCCGAGTCTTCGGCGACCTTGGTGGCCTCGTTGATCTTGATGAGGAGCTTGGTGGAGTCGATGATGATGGGGAGCGTGCCGAAGAGGCCGCCATCCCAGGACGACACGGTGTCGCCCAGCTCCGTGTTCTGGGCCGCGATCTCATCCATAGCGGCCACGATGGCGGCGCCGTCGGCGAGGACTGAGGTGGCGAAGAGGCCGAGGAGGGAGAACTTGAGAAGCATGTTGTCTGTGGTCGAGGTCTCTGTGGACTAACACAGCCGAGAGCTTTGCTTGAGTATTGAGAAAAGTATGGATCTGAATCTGGATCTAAGACTGCTGATTGACCGAGACACCATTCTGAATATCGCGACCTCCACCAGCTCTTTATACTTATTGCTCGTACGATTCCAGAACATCATCGTTGTTCTCATCACATTAACTACATTTTAGCTTGCATGTTGGCTCATGTTCCTCCGCCTATCACACCTATTCAACATCTAGCGACCTTCCATCAAGGTAATATTCCCCCGCAAACACCATCGGTCAAGGACACTCAATTACCACATCAAGAATTAGGCGACGTAGGATCGTGCCGTCACAATCCTGGAAGCCAGAAAGCTTCACATGCCCCCTCGGCCGAGAACCCCATGTGCTCATCTACCCAACGTGCCTCAGCTCCCCCCCAGAACAAACACCTACCCGTGTCGTCCCCATCACGAACACATGCTCAGCCAGCAGTTCACGACACCTCCAAGCCGAGGAGCGCAGGGATCTTACCCCAGATTCCGCCCTTCCTCCCCCCTGAACACCCCCGCTGATCTGCCCTCTTTCCCCTCATGCAAGCCTTGCAAGGTGCCTGCCGATGTGACTTGCCCGACACGAGAGGAGGTGCACAAACGCCCGCCATTGGACGGCGTAAACACAGTCCGGCTCCGGCATTGGCCTTTTTTCTCGCGACTCGGGGCGGCTGGCTGACTGTGAGGGCGGCCGGACGTCATGGTTGGTGCGAGTTGGCGGGCTTTTAGCCTTTTTGGACCTGAGCCAATGGTTCCTCCGAGCTTTTACTTCGTCTAATGAGGCGGTTGACATTGGAGGATGCGATGGCAGGTTTGTCGTTTCCTTCTGTTCTGACGAAATATGTGAAGGGCTGTTGAGATTCGGGTGGCTGAGAGCGGCAGCCTACATTCATACACTTTGAGGACTTTGTCACACCAATTGGCAAAGTCTAAAGACAACATCGATTGAGATAAATTACGAGTTACTTGACCAGCTCCATTTCGTCTTTCCAACTCCGGTCTTTCCGCAATCTCGTAAACTTGGGGGTCTTCGTCTACTGTACAGTTATATTCATCTTTGTGAGCATACTTCAACCCAAACAGTCCTTCAAGTGATGCCAAATTCGCCCTTGAACGTCTGGTATTTTCATACCTCAGCTGTTACTCAACGCACAGCCAGGCAGAAGAGATCACAAGGAATGAACTCAGTCGAAGTGACAAAGAAGTGACAATGTCAAGTCTAATTCTAGAGAGTCTGGCAATTGTGGGAACGAGAGAGCAGGTTGCGTCATTGAGTTGTCAGTCACACTTGATCAGAATGGTCCGAGATACATACCGTCAACACATGCCCCAATAGATTAATGGTAAGTGACAAGAAAGACACCAGATAGCAATGAAATCAATTCTATGTGACTCCTCCCAAGGAAGACGCAGAGACCAAAGCCATATTTCAAGATCCTATACGCCTAATTACCACATAGTTCTCCATCTTCTGCAAGACCAATTGAATCAGGATGTGTGTAAGCAGCTGCAATTGGGAAACTATTGCAATGCATACCACAGACCCACTAATTGACAGTCAAAACAAAGCAAGTCTAGCCACCCTGACCCTCTAAACTTCATTCAAATTGAATACCATTGTCTATCAAAAGGATACGGACGATTGCCAAGGGAATCAAAAATCGAACCGACCGAGCTGGGACTCGAACCCAGAACCTTTGCCACCGGAAAGCAACGCGCTGCCATTGCGCCACCCGGCCGTATCCTTTGTTTTCCGATGAAAGCCGGGGTCGACTGACTGAGTAAGAAGCCTTGCACTCGCGAAGGACGGGCATTTCTGGCTTCTCCGTCGGCGATGCGAGAGCTAGAAGCCCTTGATGCTGTAGCGATAGCCTCTGGTATCTGAGCGGTGTAAGTTCGAAGTCACAGTGAAGAAGGCTTGAGGGGCGATGGCTGCGGGTGCTTGAAGGCTGTTTCAATGTCCGTCCGGCCGGAGCAGGGTGGGTCGCGGACGGCCCGGTGTCTTGGACATGCCGGAATTCAATGACAGCCGGAAAGGCAGGTGAAGGAAGCTGGGTGTGTCCGCAATTTCCAATCTTGTGACTCGTTGACATGGTAGCTTTTGTGATTTCACAACACTATGGATGTCAGGGATCGTCCAAAAGGATGCTCGGTCGCAAGTGGGGAAGCGGGGTAGCTTTCAAACCATCGGAGCTGATGGTGAAGATGCTGGGGGCAGTAAATATCACAAACACGCCAGTTGAGTCGACAGGTCCTGCCAAAAAGTCTATGCAAATTGCTGTTCTGGTCTAGGATGCTCTATCCATAAGACGCGCAATCATGTGTGTGGGCAGCGCAGCCGGGGCCTCGACATATTCGAAGCTCATGGGGTATCAACTACAAGCAAGCCATCCTCCACGATTGGCCCAATTCCTAAAAGACAAGACATTGCGCGACTGAGTATGCTCACTCATCGTCGTCATTGAGACCAAAGTCGTCGTCGTCATCGTCTTCACCCATCCCCTGATCGTCCTCATCGTACATGTGGGATTCGTCGCCCATGTCATCGTAGTCATCCCCACCACCGTACTCGTCGTCTTGGTGCTCATGGCCCCCGTCGCCATCAATGGGCTCGATTTCTTCTTCTTCTTCGTCGTAGTGGTCGTCCACAACACTAGGCGCCTTGCTCGTAGGACGGCTCGCAGCTTCACTCTCAGGCCGGGAGCCCGGGTCACCTTGACCAGCGACGTCGAACATCTGTCGGATAGCCTCGTAGTTGATGCGCTTCGAGAAACCACGCTCCTTCATGACATTCACAGCAGCCTCGCCTGGTGTGCTGGCAGGTGTCGTCTGGCCTTCGCCAATACGAGGGCGCTTCTTCCGCTTGCGATCCTTCTTAGGCTTCTTCTCCTCCAGCTTCTTGCGGAACAGACGCTCCTGCGATGCGCGCAGCCAGTCTTTGTTTTCATTGACCCACAGAAGCTCCTTGATCTTGATCTCATCAGGAGTCAACATGCAGTTTGCAACTTCAGGATCATCGGCGAACTCGTCTTCGCCAACCTCGGGCGCCATTGAGACAGACTTGTCTGGTTGCTGCTGGAGGGCCCAGATCGAGTGGATGCGAGCTCGCTGCTCGGCGTTGCTGAAAGCTTTTGCGTGCTCGTAGGTCTCGGGATCATTCATAATTTCCGAGATCTGATCTTCCATCTCTGCCTCATCTTCCTCCCACTCTTCGTTGATTGGCAACGACGGCTTCGGTTGCCGCGTCTTTTCACTGCCAGCATCCGTCTGTGATGACTCTTCATTTTCCTTCTCCGCGTCGCCGAATTCTTGAGCCAGGCCCTCAAGATGTTGGGTGCTGTTAGCATCCCTTAAAGCCGGCTCGTTGACGGCAATTTTGGACGGGAGAGGGGGGATAATGTAGCCGGCCTTATCTCGACGATACTCAATAGTCGGCGCTGCAGACAAATCAGGCGGTGGCAGAGAGGGCGCAGGTGTCGTCCTGTTGTTATCACCGTCGTCTGAGATAGTTCGCTTCCGCTTCTTGCCAAGCTCTGCCTGCTGCGCTTGCCAAGCCTCGGTGTTCCGGTAGAAAGACGGGGGGTCATGAGAGCTAGAGCCGAAATCTTGAGACAAGAAGTCTTCCACCGTCATTTTACTGGTCTCTGTCACATTGAACTCCTCGAGACGTTCCTGGATGGTGTGGTTCGTGACTTTGACAATATATACAACTTCCCGAACGGTTCGCCGGAAGTTGTGCATTCGAGCAGCCATCAGAAGACACGCTCCACAGATACCGGATGGACGACGGCCCATGACGATCCAATCTTGCTTCATGCGACGGACAAGGCGGACAGCGTCCTCGGCGACGCGATTGGTCATATGCTTGAATTCGAGCTTGGAGGCGAATCGGTAGATGATGTCTTCCGGGAAGACCGGAGACTCTCCGCTTGGGAAGAGGCAAAGAGTCTTGGTCAAGGCTTTGAAGGTTCTTCCTAATACAAACACGTTGACCTGGATAATGTCGCCAATATCGATGAGCATAACGCGACACGGCCTTTCCATTCTGCATGCAGCGTAGAGGCAGACAGCTGCGACAGTGATGATCTTTCGACCCTGTGTGAAACCTGACTGGGAGGCAAGCTTGAAACACTGCACAGCGGTGTTGACAGTGTTATCGCTGAGATTGAGGCGCTGAGCATAACCCTGCATCAGGGCGCGAGCCTCGCGGATGGTCTTCTCTCTGTCGTCGGAACCACCAACACGGCGAAAGGCTGGGCCCATGCTCCTCACGCCAGCTTGGTCGGCGGCGATATAGCTTCCCTGTACCATGGCAGCACCGGAAGAGGTCTCGCCAAACTGAACTTCGGCAACGATGTTGCTGTCATCGGCGACACGACCGCAGGTTTGACAGATGCCATCGACGACATTGGGCTTGACACAGGCCTTGTTCGGACATTGTGGGCGGTTCGAGATGGCGACAGTAGGGGGTCTTGCTCGATTCTGTTGTGCCTGAGCAGCAGCGTTGGCTGCGGCGGCGGCGGCGCTAGCTTGCTGGCGTTCGGCTTGCTCGCGAATGGCTCGAATGCGGTTCGGTGGTTGGAAAGGCTTCGACTTAGCAGCCGGCTTTTGGGACTTTTTGGTGGGCGTTAGGAAGGAAGACATTGTTTCGACGAGGGGCACCTTGCGAAGGCGGAGGCGACTCGCGGGGGGTTCGGGAGGCCTAGGAGAATTTTGTCGAGAAAGGAAGAGTTGTTTGCAGCATGGGCGTTTGGAAGATGCGGATTACGAAGCTGCGAATGGCCTCGTGAACATCCCCTTTCCTCCAGCACTAGGCTACAGAGGTTGCCAGTCTGCTTCGCCTTCACACCTCAGACGACGTGGATAAAAGCAATGGCGTGCGCAGGCGTGGCTTGGTGCGAGGTTTGTCGACGCGTTTGGTGATGTGGGCAGGAGTAATACAATGGGCGAATAGAGTGTAAGTGAATTGAAGATGGAGTCTGCTATGGCTTGTCTGCAGAGGTGTCTGCAGAGGGATACTGGTGGTCGGCGGAATGAGGTGAAGAATGGGAAATTTTGTGGGGTTGGCGACGAGATGGTCGAGCGGGGGAAGGTGCACGTTTGTGAGATGGAAGGCCGGTGCGCAGTCAGTGGTGGGATGTAGGCATTTGCTGAGTCAATCTCCGTTACCTTCCATAAAAGGGAATATCCACTTTTTCGTGTTTGTTCCAGAGCTGCTGGTTCGAATCTGCGTCCGTCTGCACAACTAAAATATTCCAACGACGCACTGGAGATACTTCCAGCAACATCACATCAATATAGCCTCACTGATGTGGCTGTTGAGATTCTCTGTCCTCCTAAATGAACAATGCCTGTCATCAACTTGAAGAACTCGATCAGTTGAATTTACCTTGCGGGAACTGCTTCCAAATCAGGCAGTATTCTCAGCAGATACAGATACAATGCCTATCGGCGGAGACTCCGCTGGTAACCGGCGCCAGCCAATCCCTTAAGCTCTTCCACCTGCGGGCCGAGTCACTTCTGTTTTGCCCCGCGTGCTGAGGGAATCGCGGGGCAACTTGATCAGTGACATGTAGGTTCAAGCGAACATTCTATCGACACTTGTCCTGATCATGAGGCCTCTTTGGATTCATAAGCATCCTAAGCGGGAATGAAGATTCACGGAGCTTCTCCTTTCAGGTTTATAGCGCTACAAACTACTCCTAACCATGATTCTTCGTGTTACTGGCCCTTATGAAAAGCCCGGAAACCCAATTGCGCTTTAAGTACTGAGAAATCGGTTTCGGTATGGGCGGCTTATCGGCCCATTGCACCGTCACAACGACACAAGGTGAAGAGACCCTGCATGACACCTTAGATCGGCAAACATCCTACAAGTATGAATACTTCGTGTTGCTTACTGCGGGGCAAGTGCGGGAAGTCACCAAGTAGGTAGCTTACTTGGTAACTCTCACACCATCTGCATTGAAGTGTCCGGTGCAGAACGAGCCGTAGTACCATTCTCGCTCAAGCCTATTTAAACCTCCAAGCACCCATCACTATTCTCTGCCTCATTTTCTCAACTTCAGTATATCCACGCAATTTCTACACATATACTCTCTTTATTCTTGGCGAGTACAACACAATCAAGATACCTTAATCTAGTCAATCATGTCTTCATTTACCCTTTCCGCTGCCCCCAACACAGACGTATGGAAGAAGCCGCCTGCTCACAACGTCTACGATGGTAACTTAGACTCACTCCTAACATATGCCGCAAGTTAACAAACCTAGCTCCCACAAAAACGGTTCCGGCCAAGCCCCTAAGCCAATTCAAGTCTGCCAAAATTACATTCACCGCAGACTGGACCGAACAGTACGACCAGGCAGGCCTCATCGTCACCTTTGACTCTAACTCTGGCCGCGAGAAGAGATGGATCAAGACCGGCCTGGAGTACTACCAAGGCACGCCACAGCTCAGCACCGTTGCCTGCGACCGCTGGGCCGACTGGAGCATTACCCCTCTCGCCGCCTTTGAGGACACCAAGAGCATCACTGTGCTCATCGAGCAGGAGCGCGACTTCATGGGCCCGAGCTTCTGGGTGTACTACGTGAAGCAGGACGGCACCAAGGTGCCGCTGCGTGAGATTTGCTGGGTTTTTGGAGACGATGACTGCACTGGCAAGGATTGGAATCTGACCGTTGGCGCTTTGGTTGCTCGGCCTGCCAAAGATGCCAAGAGCGATCTTGAGGTTCAGTTCAAGGACTTTGACGTGCAGTGGTCTGAGTGAGCGTCAAACAGGGTAGCTCGATACCCTCCCAGCCTAAAAATAAATATAAAGAATGTATCTATGACAATATCGGTGCTCAAAAACGGTACAATGCACATCTTCAAAGATGCAATGGTCATAGGCAATCGAAGTTGTGATTATAGATTATGTAATTAAGTCTAGTATGACATGGTCTAACGTCATGAACATTGTACTCCATTGCTCGATGGAATTCAGCCCCTGATCGCAATATTCGGGTATCATCCGTTTTCCATACCAAGCATCCAAGGTCCTCCACAGCTCTCATCCAACAGTGCTCGATCAAGCTCGGCTTCCGGGACCGTAGTACGTCCCGTCTGGGCCGGTTTCGGCTATCCTCTCAGTTGTATCAACATTGGCTCCTGACATTTGCCCTTTGTCATGCTGCGGTTGAAAAGAAGATTGCTGCGGCGAGTACGGGTAGGGCTGGTATGAACCTGCAGGCTGCATCGGCGGCGGCCCGTTGATAGGCACCATATAAACGGGAGGAGGGCGAGCATTGCGCTGCTTGCATTCAATACAGGCGCGGACGAAGAGGGTGAAATTGTCGATACTATGAGGTGTTAGCGATCATCCCGAGGCTTTTCGAAACACTCATATCGAGTACTAACAACAAGAGGGCAGTGAACGCCATTACAGCATCCTGCATAGAGGTGACCTGGCCACCACTCAACACCCACGACCGCGGACCATCGCGGAGGATGATGTTTGCAATCTCCCATCCAGTGGCCACCATGAAGACGAGCCAGAAGAGCAAGTGCATTCCGACGTGAGCACCGGGGTGGATTCCACGCCTCCCGCCTCTCGCGCAGATGGTGATGAGTTCAGAGGTTTCCCAACACACAAGAGCGGCTGCCTAAAAGCGGGTTAGATATCTCATGTCCCCGATATTAAACCGTCATTCTAGGAGCACACTGCTTACGGGGAATCCACTGAATACAAGATAGAATGAACTTGAGAATGAGTAAAATATGAGAGAGAGCGAGATGCCGAGGACGATGGCGCTGAACGCAATATTGAAGCCGCGAATGACAATCTTTGCTCGGTGCCATTTTGCGTTGAATGGGATTTCTTGAGGAGCTTGTTGCGCGTATGGCACGTAGCCTTCGAAGCCATCAGGCGGTGCGTACTGCGACTGTGGTGCGTACTGCGTTGAAGCCATTATGAATTTGAGTGGCTCAGTGAGCGTCTTATACACTTCGACAGCGACTTTATAACACGAGAGTACACGATTCTGGTGTAGTCCGAACCGCAAAATGAGCGGCAACAAAACCGATGGCGCTTTTCAACACGAACCGAATAGGAGCAAGAGACACAGGCGTTGGTTCAAATTTTCGGCACCGGAATTTTGGCTCATTTTATCGCACGACTGTGCCGCTCTTCTAACGGTTTGGTGCATGATACAGGCACCGGCGCGGTAACAATCGCGTCCCAAAAAGGACGGCGCCCCTGGCTAGAACCAGTTGGCGGCGGAGATCAGGGTCTTGCCATTGGACCACAATTTTGGCTCATATGGGCCTTAAGCAGAACCCTGTCAGCTGTGCCGTTGGCTGCCTAGACACAAAGAAACCCCAGTTCGTGCCACGAGAGCTGAAGATGCACTACGATTGCGAGATCGAGGGCATAACGGTCCTCGAGGGAATGGGAGACATATTGTGTCTAACGCCTGGACCTCGGTAGTTGATGCGCTGGAGGTTTTCCCACTATGAGACCTGACAATATGATTCTCTCATCTCTGTAAACCCCAGCGTTGGGTGCCAGCTGTACAATGGTAAATTCTCAGGATGTCTGTCTCAGTTCACAGAAGCGCTGCGGTGGCTGGCAAAAGCCCCGCCAAATCTCACGTACGAGACCGAGGCCCCATCGGTCATCGAAATCAATCAATCCAAGTATCACCGTCACGGCTACCCTAAAAAACCGCAAATGTGCTGTTTCTCCAATCTTGTTGGTCTCTGCAGCGGCTGTCGCGATTCTGTCGCTCGATGGCTCCTGACTGGTTTCGAATGTGAGTATCAATTTTCTGGCCATAATGACGAGTCTACTCTCTCTGCAGCACCACTACCAAGCCCATTATTCCCAGCATTGCCGTCTTCAACCACGGATATTCTGAAAGGAGGATCGTAACGTAGCCGACGAAGGGGATGTATGCGACGACGCTGCCGATGATATCCTTGCGCACAAGGTAGTCCTGATCCTTGGCATAGAGCTCTGCTTTGGATCAGTCTTTACTCACGTCACGGAGAACTCGAAGGGAGGGAGCCACGAACCAGTGTCATCGGAGTTGTTGTTGTCGCCCTTGGTAAGGAGCTTCGCTTCCGGTCTATAACGAGCCTCTCGGTTAGCAAGGAAAGCAATGGGAGACGGAGTGTACGAGTAGCTTACCCAGAGCCGAATCTGCGAACCACTCTGTGGACAATGGGAATATTCTTGCCCTTGACTTCGTAGACAACGATCTCGCCAACGTCGGTTTCCTGGATCAGGTTGCGGTTCCAAAGGAAAAGGAGATCGCCTCTCTGAAAGGCAGGCTCCATTGAACCACTGAGAACGACGACAATCGGACTGGGGGAATCGGAAATCACGGAAAGACCCTTCCACATCTGCCACTGGAGTTAGCAAGAGCTTCTTTGGGGAAGGCCGATGTGCACACCATAAAGGCAGTCGAGAGGATCAGCGCAAAGTTGAGCAGTTGCGACGCTGCCTGGCGCGGGTTTCCGAGACTCGACAGCATGTTTCCGGCGGTTCTGATAAGTGCGGGCGGTGTTTTTGGTAGCGTCGTCGGTGGTGGCAGGTCTCGGGTCGTGATGGTCAGTTTGGAGTTGAGTTCTGGCCAGCAACGCACCTTCCTTGAAGCTGGAAGCAAGAGCAAGAGCACAGGCCAGCTATTTTGCAGACGTGGAACGTGTCAATGGAGATCCTGAGGTACGTACTCTACTTATCTTATCGGTTCTCACCAACGGTCGGCTCAAGACGGGCGTGGTGCACAGACCACCGTTTATTCTCCTTCTGCTTGGAGCTCTCTGGTCCAGTGAGCCTGCCTCATCTAACATCTCCAAGCTGCAAGCTGCATCTTCTTCGTAGGGAGAACCACATAAGTCATGGTATACAAAGCATTCCTGCAGCTTAAGCAGCAATTGAGTTAAATGTACACCATAACATGCATTGGATACCAGTCGTCTTGCAGGAATTTGCTACAAGTCAAACACGATGAGCTCCTACTCACCATAGATGGAGTTAGGATATTCGCAGGTCAAGTTAAATATAAGAACTCACCAGCACCCGTCGTGGGTTTCCCAATATCAAGTCACAGCGCTGGTATCAATGGCTCGCTTTGTATGTACCACAAGTGGCACGCACAATGTCTTCCTGACTGACTGACAACCAACGCTGCCCGTTACCTTCCTTCCTAAACCTCAACCGGGACTTCACAGATCACTCACTTCCTTCCGCCATTGTGGATGAACGAGACAGGCACATATGTCCGACATGACTTCCTTCTTTGGGCGTCATAGCCAACATCGGCAGTCGCAGCTTTACCGACAGGTGGAAGGCAGCAGCTCCCTTCTAAAATATTCCACATGTCTCTGTCCTACGTTATCCCATCGCATCCCCCCGCTCCTCGACCTGACATCCCTCTCTCAGTCTTTTCCTCAAGCTCTTCGCCTGGTGTTTGCCAACAAGCCGTCAGCCTTCTTCTGTAAATTAAACATTATCAGGGCGCCCAAAGCATCATCTCTCTCAGATTCCAAACTTCGACGACCTCTCTTCAGTATCCTGCCTGGCCTCCGTTAGAAGCCAACGCGATGGACGCCTCCGTCACCACTCCCTTGCTCCACGGGCAATCGGAATACCATGATGGACATGGCCTGCCCACGCCGGCATCCTATGGCCAGGTTCAAGACCATGTACGCTCGATTGTCGATTGCTAGGCATATTCACGGCTTCAGTTAACCTATCTTCTTTAGCCTGCGTTTCTGAGAGCATGCCATTCACCCTGGCGGTCCTTCTCCCAGAACCACTTGTGCTGGGTTCGAGGTGGTATCGTTGCTTACCTGACCGCAGTCGGAGCTACGGTTCTTGACTACAAGCTGCGAAAAGAAGAGTCTGCCTACTCTGACTGGCGAGTGGTCTTTGACTTCTCCGTCGTCACCTTTTCTCTACTCTTGGCCTACCATGCGGTTGTACTGGTATGTCAGCCTACAGCGTAGGAATTCTGAGTTATGGCTTGTTGCTGACCTCGATCATTAATCCTAGGGCTGGACCTACACTCATCTCTATCATCCACATATCGAGGAGACCAGTACTGGCTGGGAGTACTGGGCATTGAGAACCCTGTCACTGCCTTACGACATGGCCAGTCTTCGCAAGCAGTTCTACTTCACCTTGTTCTACACCATCACAACTGTTTTTACCTTCATGAACACAGTCATCTACTGGTTTGTTACCTTGGAGCACGACGACAAGAACACGGGAGAGCCCCCCAAACCCCAGCCATCCGGAGGCTCCGCCATGGCCGACATGATTGGAGACGCTTTTGCATCCGAATGGACCAGCTTGGAAGACTCACACAAGAATGGGCCACATGAACCTTGTAAGCCATGACGTCTTGTTGATGTTGACTTGGTCTAATACCATAATCTCAGTCACGGAGATTTTCGGAAAGGGCTGGTACAAGGCCTTTGTAATCATCAACCTCTTCGGCATCACATCAGCCGTCTCTCTCATTGAGATCTTCTGGCTCAACAGCATCAAGCGCCCCTTTGTGAGTTGCCTTGTACCTGAGGCAAGAAACATACACTGACACGAATGAAACGGGCAGGGCGTTGGCGCACACACTTTGGGCGTCATCTTCTTCGCGGGTCTCTATCTCGGTTGGGCAGCCATCGGCAAAGTCGAGACTGGCGCCGATGCCTTTTACTGGCTGAACGAGAAGAATGTCGGATCCCGTGAGGCCGTTGTGGCATCGTCGATTGGATTTGTAATCCTTGCTCCCATCAGTGGGTTCCCTCTGGTACCTGGTGACTTTAACCAAGATTATACTGACTTGTCGACTAGTGTACGCATTCATGTACGGTCTCGTTGGTATGCGCGAGAACATGGCCCGAGCTGCCCACACGAGACGGGTTGCCGCCGCTGCCGCGGTGGCGGGCCACTGAGGGACTTTCGGTCTAGACGGGTCTTGTCGGAGATGAACGGGGCAGGCGTCGGGCGGTGAGCACGGCGGTGGTGGCCGGTTCCATCGGGCTTGGCCATGCGTCGTTGATAGGTACAGTGGACGGATGCCTCAGAATGTAGGATTGATAAGGCATGCATCGGGCTGGAGTCGAGGATGGTGTAGTGCACCGCTCGAGGCGGTGGAGGGCAAGATGCCAGGGAGGGTGAACATACGATTACCAAAATAACCTAGAGCATTATGACTTCCAACACGCAATCCCTAGATCTCCAGGGACCGAGGCACTGTCTGACGAATGAATTGTGATTGCTGGGAACTTGGAAGGGGAATCCACGACTAAGGTTGGCAGGTAATGGTATCATGGGCGTTGACGGGACGGGACGCGAGGGGAAGAGCGATGGATGGATCATGGAGCTGGGGGCAAGGAGCGGTGTTGAGGCGGTGATGCAGTTCACTGGGCTTACCGACGATGAAGACAGGCGGAGAGCAGGGATTGGGGCAGACAAGCGAGCGGGACGGGGTCGTGGTGGCTCTTGATGATTGGCGGCGGTGATTTTGTGCCTGAATCTGCCCGACTAGCGGCAAACGCCAATCTCGAAGAGGGACGCAAAGTCGACGATGTGATTTTGTCCGAGGAGGAAGTGGGAGGGGGGAGCAAGAGGAGGGGTTTGGTTGCAAGGGTTCGTGGATCGATCCATGGACCAAAGAGATCAATACTGGGATGTTGGGCTGAGAAGGAGGAGGAGGGGTTGAGAGTCGAAACGAGCCGAACGGGGGATTCTAGAAGTTGAGTCCGAAGCAACGGCATGACTGGCCTGGCAAGTCAGAACTGACTGAGGTATCCGTAGGTAGGTGGCTGATTATGGAAGAGAATTGTCGTTCATGCGGCTTTGAGCGAGTTTGGATTTGGATGGGGTTCAGAGTGGTTTGGATGAAATAAAGTTAGGTTGTGGCTAGTGAGACAGTGAGGTCTGGATGCGTTCACGACGGCGCTACTGAGACCAATGTGAAGCAGCCTGGGGAGAGAAGGTAGACGCTGGCGAGCTCTCAGTCGTGGAAAGGCCGTGAACTGGGAGGAGGAACTGCGTGGTAAGGCACCTACACGCAAGTTCAGGTCTCCAAGTATTGCAGAGAGCATGAGGCTCTATCCAATCCCGCGTGGTAGGGCGGAAGCTTGGGCGATCCGGGGGAGGCGGCGATGAAGGGAGAGATGCAGAGGTGCAGAGGGTGCAGCATCTCGAGCAGTCCCGATCCTGCGAGGATAGAGTAGATGGCAACCATGGCAACCGTGGGCGGCATGTCCAGACGACGAACTCACCAACCGGAAGGGCAGATGTCGAGCCGTCAGTGAGTTGGCAGCTTGGCCGAATCAGTCGGATACCTTATCGATCACGGAATCTAGGTAAGGTAGGTTGTTGGGCACTTTGATGAGGGTATGGGTGCTCATGACCCGGGCAACGAGCCAATGATGGTGCCAAGGGGTCGTCGACCGCCTTCTCGCGACTTCTTCTGGTGTCCATGAGGGATCCATGGGGCAGGTATCGTTTGACTCCTGAGATGATGTCCCGAGGTGTTCAGGAGGTAACACAATCCTGAGGTGTCGAGTCTGAACGAGGGAAATGAGAAGTACCACCAAGGACTCGCGCAACTGAGGGAGCCCCGCGTTGCGATGACCTCACGTGCGGTCCTGACGACAGCGCATGCGAGGATGGTGAGGTGTCTCCGGATGAGGTTTCTTGGGCCGCCATTCCCGACTTTGGACCCTTCCGATTGTCTCTTGGCGGATTCGGGAGAAGGAACAAGAGGTACAAGATGGATGTACCTGAGCCATGCCCAATTGAGAACATGAGGTGAAGAAAGATACCTGCCCAGAAGTACCCAAGTACTCCAGATCCAGTCTGCCAACGCACCGGGAGGCCCGTTCCCAATCTCGGGGGGGTCGGAGAAGGCACGGAGGGGAGGGGGAGGTTTCTGGTCTGGGCCCAGGGCCGATGGCCGGTGACCGTTTTGTTCCAAGGGGAGCCTCCACAAGTACCGGTATGTGTTATTGCAAAGTACTTCTGGCACTTGCGTAGACACGCTGTACAATGAGGTACCTCAGATAGGTAGTTAGACTTAACTTTTAGGTCTGGCTCTTGAGGCAAAGGGGAAAGTGTCGGGTGCCTTAGCGGCTACTCCCCGGTTGGAGGCGCGGCGGTTCCATGGCGGATACCCTGAGAAAAGATACGTATTTCTCTCATAATCATTCGTGTCAGTCTGCCATTGCATATCCGTCCAGTCATAGAGCCGTTGCAACTTGCGAGTAAGGTACTTGCTGCCATCCTGAAGTCACTCACTGCTTCCATGTCCTTGTTCCATTGGTGAAGCACAGAGAAGAGAGAGCCTAACAGTCTGCAACGGTGAAAGCTGAGTGGCAGACTGGCAGTTGGCAAGTACCGCGGGTGAAGTCACTAACATCCCCGACGTTCCATTTTGGTCGTGGTTAGGCTGAGATGCTGCCTGGGCTGTCCATGTCTGCCCGGTCCGCAGCTGGCAATGTGCCCCAACAGCGTTCATGGCCGTTCAGCTCTTTGCACCAGTTCCAGGTTTCCCCCCCAAGCGTCAGCAACGCGCGCCAGTTGTTTACCCTGCCTGCTGAACATCAAGTACCTTCTGGCGTGGAGATGGTGCTTGCGAGTACTTGCCAGCGATCACTTGGAACTGGCAGTAGGGACGGGTGTGCTTGGTGTTCGTCCTATCAAACACGCGGCTCGCACTACGCAACACACCTCCCGCCGCCACCCAGAAATGCGGCGGTTGGGAATACGCCAGCCAATGATACCCTGCCAAAGAAAAGATCCAGCCTAAGAACATCACCAACTTAACGTGATGGTATAAATATGAAAGCCCCCCCTCCGCAATCTACCCCTCTTCCCTCTTGTTCTCCCCCTCCCCCCCCCCCCCCCCCTCAACCACAACCAAAAAAGGGTCGCAAAGTTGCAAGTTGGGAATACCTCCTTGGGCCGTTCGTTACTGAATTCCCTTTCCATAGGAGGCATCTCTCACCCCGGACCCCTAGTCAATCTTTTTGTGTGTCACTCGTCCCTCACTTCTCTCACTCTCTTCTCTCTCTCGCTCTATCCCCCCCTCCCCCCTCCAATCCGAACACCCCTCCAACTTCGTCATTCCTCCTTCTCCTCTATTCGCTCATTTCGTCGCTCTCTACAAGTCTTCTCATCCCATAGACAAAGACATATAAGGTCCCTAGGCAACGCGCTCTCCATCGTCTCAGCTTCCCTAGTCTTTACTCTATCGTTCCCCATTCGAGTTGTCATTCCTTAATCAGAACAACAACATCGGCAACATCATCAGCATCAGCAACAACAACGACTTCTTCGGGCCTACAACGCCCGCTCTCTCTTAGCAAATCACAACCGTCATGTCGCTGTTCAAGCGTACCTTCAGGTCGCAAGACCCCAACGTCCGTGTCGACAAGACGTCCAGGCTGAAGAAGTCAAGCTCGATCCGGGATCACCAGAAGCTATCGAAAATGCAGCAGTCCGTCAACGAGAAGCCCGCCATGGCCCCACCAGCCGCCCCCGCGCCGCTGCCGACCAAGACGGGCAAGTCCGTGGCCCCTTCACCCATCGTCACCTTGACCGTGGGACGCGAGGGTCGACTGTTTGCTGCTCACGAGGACGTCCTCTTCCAGTCGCCCTTCTTCGAGGCCGCCTGTCGAGGCCAGTTCTTCGAGTCGCAGAGCAAGAGAATATCCCTCCCCGACGAAGAACCCGAGATCTTCTCCTCCGTCCTCGAGTACCTCTACAAGGGTGACTACTACCCCCGCCTCGTCCACAACAGGCACCGCAACTCTTGGGAGCTCGAGGACGCCGTCAGAGGAACTCCCCAAACTTCCCCCAACCCCGAAAACACCCCCCGAGGCGGCCGCGCAGCCGCCGTTCCCTCCACTCCCACATCGACAACCACCGGTACCACCGCGAGTGAGGCAACAATCTTTGTCTCGGGCTGCGGGCAACACATCCTCCGCGACACCGTCATCTACTGCGCTGCGGAGCGGTACGGGCTCGAGGAGCTCAAGCGCCTGGCTCTGCGCAAGCAGGGTCTCCAGTCCGGTATTGATATCGGCACCATCCTGCGCTCCGCCCAGTACGCCTACGCCCACACCCCCGACTCGGACTCCCGGCTGCGCGCTCACTACCTCGCTCTGATCATCAGATGTCGCAAGACATTCAAGAGGAGTGGAACCATGCAAGCCGAGATGGAGCGCGGCGGTAGCAAGCTCTTCTTTGACCTGTTCGTGGCCATGTGCAACCACCTCGACGACGTTATCGACCACAGCAACGCGCGAACACCCAAGACCGTCTGAGAGGTTTCGGTTGACTTTTTTGGTCTTGTTGGTTGAGTTGACTCTCGACCAGACACAGCCAGAAAACACATGTACAAAAGCGATCATGGTACTGTCACGGCGTTTAACACGGTTATTTTTCTTGTCATTTTGGTCCTTTGCCTTCCGGATTTGCATCACAAGGATAGGAGGTTGTCTGAGAACCGCGATCCCACGGAGGTCTGCTTTTCATGCCGGCACGTCACTTTCTCCCCTCTCTCCCACACCAGATTGGAAACTTCACCATTTGGGAGCTGTCTTTTCTTTCTGAAAACCCATCTCCACTTCTCATCGAGGTTGGCCGAATAAACCTTTCTGGTGGATTACCGGAGTCGAGGAGGACTAATACCCCCCCGCAAACGAGATTCACTCCTCCCGCTCTTCTTGCTTTCAACTCTCTCTTCCGCATCTTCTGGAACAAAGATTCCCCCAAATACAGGATATACCGGGCCCGGGCGGTTTCTCTCTCTCCCCATTTTACCAATCACTGGCGTCTACCCCCTTCTGAGCTCTAGTACTCTACTCCACGTTCACTCGTAGGTGGTAAGGGAACGGCTCAAACGGCTCATCAGAGAGCGAAAAAAGGAGGAAGTCGAAACGGAGAAGAGACTTGTTACCTTTTGATTTTACACAAAAACACAAAACAACGACAAAAAAAAAGACACCAACCCCAGCACCAAGTTTGTTCCACTCTTCAACTACTCTGCTTACTTGGGAACGACAATTTACGGGGGACGGCGCAACTCCAACAACAACTCTCATCTCTCCATCGGGAACAACGGATTTTGGGCGTTTACGGTATTAGACATACCGGGGCACATGAGTTTGGTGCCAGCTACCATAACAGATTGTGTTTTTTGTCTTCTTTCCATCATTTTCTGAGATTACGGATGTCTTGAGGATACGTACGGGATGTGCCCGCCTCCGACTCCAGGGCAGGCCGAGGAAAAGATCATGTACAATCTCTCAATAGCGCAACAAGGAGCAGACTTTTGCGCTCTTTCTCTTCTGGCCTTGCCAAATCAACAACTCAACAACAACCAAAAAAACGGAAAATCTCCCAAGCAAACAAAGCATGTCAAGACTGAACGACTCAACACACCACATGCTTTCGGATCTCATTTGTCTCTGGGAATTTTAGGAGGATGCAACTCTTGTTTTTTCACGCGGTTTTCTGCATTGGTTCCTGCTTTTGCGATATAGCCTAGGCGGATTGGGGATATCGTCCCTAGTGGATTGGTTCTCTTGGACCTGGCTTGAGCCCTCGTCAGGGCGTGGTAATGAGAAATTTCGGCCACCTCATGAATTGTTCCTCTTGATCTATGTGACTGTTTGCATGTTTCCAAGTGACTATGTGCCCTGTGCGATTGGCTCTCTTGATATATACCCCCGCGTGTAAAGTGACTGACGAGCCTATACCCAGTTAAAATTTCAAGCACCTCGTAACCATTATGATGCCAGCGTTTCTATCAAATTGCAGTTGACCAGTCACGAATGCCATGATTCCTCTGACGATCCGCACACTTTCCAGAAGTTTCGATCATAGGTTCAAGTTGCCTCAACGATCGTCAGGCGACCAGAGACAACATGAGAAAAAGCAGTCATACAGTGGCCATCAGCCCATTTACTTGCTTTTCCAAGAGAGACAAGAACCTCAAACGAGCGCCGATCCCCATTCGACAATGTAGCGAGACATAAAACACGACTGCAACTATCTGCATAATCAAGGAGTATTCGCACGTAAGCACACTTTTGATTTAACATTATGATCGTTTCTCAGCTCTTTCGCCGCGTCAATATTGTTGTTGTTGTTTTTGTTGTTTTGTCTCGCCACGAGGCACAGACATCTGCGCTCGTTCGTGGTGGTAAGTACCACTCGCTACCCAAGCGACCCGAGTAACGTGCGACGTCGCCGGCGTGATGTTACACGTTCGTCTCCTCTGGCGCGGCGGTGCCTGGGAGCTGTGGTACAGATGTAACCTGCCTCTTGGTTATCGAGGCGCCGACTCGGCTCTGTGGCCCGTGTGATGGATATGAACCCCCAAAGTTCGGCACTTGAGTGAGGCTGCTCCGACTACCACGTTTCTGTTTCTTTGGAACATTTTAGACAAGTCTGTTTGCAGATGTCGCGTAGAGATGGGAGAATGTCACTACAGATGTTGTAGGAAGTATACAAGTCATTAGCAAGATGGAGCGCGTCCTCTGCAGATCCCGATTTCCCTTTTGCGCAATCTTTTCTCATACACTAGGTCCCCGAGTCCCTTCCAAACTATAAACATTGGCCGATGAGACAATTTGCGGGTGGGAAACGACGTCAGGCGCGAAACTAGTCAATCTGCACGACACAATGAGACCGCGGGACTCGGGCGGCGACTGCGTTAGGCTTTGGGGCCTTGCCAGCGTGCCATCGGTGCAGCAAAGTGTGATGTGACGCAGACTGACTAAATGAGAGACAGGTTAATCAGGGACGGGCGGGCGCTGCACCAGAACCGAGACTCGGAGGGAGATCGTGTGTAACCCCTCGCATGCTGGGTAGGCACGGCAGGGTCCGGTGAGGCGTGGGATATATAGTTGCTTTCGCCCGTCTGGATGTTGTGGTGTTGGGCTTGACTTGGAGTTTACCTGAATGTTCATTCTTCATTACGCATTTCGAACCCTTCGAGAACGACCTGTGCTGCCCCGGCGCTCGTTCGACCCAACGACATTTAATCGAACCTAGCTTTAGTAGCGTATTGACCGAACTCGCCACTGAGAGAGCCACTTTGGCAGCAGTGGTAAAACACGAGGGGTAAGTTTGCCATTTATCTCCTAGTCCTTGGCGTAGGTTTGCTCAGCTCGTCTCAAGTCCGTCAAGACTTTCGGGAGCTGAGCACCCCGGAACGTTTGCCGGGAAAGAAAAGCTTCTCTATTGTTAGCGATTTCAGCGTTATGCGTCCGACCCCGCGTTCTTCCGCCGCTTTCGTTTTTGTTTGCGTTCTGGTTTTGTCTTCTTGGCTTGAGTAATTGGATGCTGCGAGCTTCTCTGTATTGCAATTCCTCGGATGGAATTCCCGTCCCTTGTTCCCACCGAGTGGACAGGGCCCTTGTTGGTATCCGCACCGGGCCGGAAAAGCGGGGGCTGAAAGACTGCAGTTGGGATTGGTCAATTGCCGGAGCTTTGGGCCAGGGGTAAAATTGAACCCTTTTTTTTTTTTTTTTTTTTGAGCTTTTGCAGCTTGCCCATAACACGTGGTTTACCGTTTAGCAGTTACTCTTTCTTGTTTTTGTTTAGGTATTTGTTTGCAGAGGAAGGAGGGATTGAGTTGACTGGACTGTTTCAAGCTGATAAGTGTGACAAGTATCAAATTTATGGAAAATCCTTCCTCCCATTGTGACGAAGGACGACGTACCTATCCCGCAAGGCAGGGCAGTTGCGACGGGACTCTGAAGCTATCGTCACTGGTGACCCCCCGTTCCTTCCTCACGAATTTTGGCCCCGGGCGGCCCCTGTCATTTACCCCACTCTTTCGGTCCCGTGCGCCTGGACCGAGATTTGCACCTGGAGGGGTCGACTTCAGACACAGGCAGGAGCCTTCCATCGCACTTCCACTGCAGCAAGATACACCTTCCACTGCATCTCAGCATTGGGCAGCGGGCTTATTCGTACAGGTCTGTGGATGAGCGAATCTTCTTTTCCTTCCGTTCATCTTCCAATTTAATTTACCCATCTCACCCTCGTTGCCCTTGTCATCGTCAGTTCCTTCGAATACGCAGTTGAGAGTGGGTGCAGGCGAGGAGCAAGCCAAAGTTGGACGCCCATCGTCATACGGCACTCATCCCTCCCTCGTCTCGTTTTCATCCAGTCTTATCCAGTACCATTCCCCTGGGTAGCAGCGTTCTTCGACTCCTTCGTCCTGCGTACGCAGCATGCCAGACGGAACATGATTCGCCCTTGCGTCCCTGCTATCTTGTCTGATGTGCAATCGGCATTGCGCAGCCATCCCAGTGGTGACGCCGCACCACGCAAGACGATTTAATGCACACTGCGAAAAGAGAGACGCATTCCCCAGCAGAAGGGGGGGGGGGGGGGCTTGGGGGTCAATAATACCATTCTGGAGCTAATAATACGGCCGTTGCGCCATGTTCAGTCACAACCACCACCTTATTCGACAGATCACCCAATATTACCTTCCGGTGAGATGAGGGAGCGCAATCAATAATTCAGGTCATACACTTTTGTCCGACTGTCCGTCATTTTCCCATTGACACATACTTTCTGACTTGCTGCCTTGGCTTGGGCTACCTTACGGAATACGAATACCTACGGATACATCTCGCATTTTCAAGATTGAACGCCCTTTGGGTTTGTCTTTGGGCCGCCGCCGCCGCCGCTTTCCTTTCTTTCACCTGTCAATGCGACGCTGGGCAACTGGATCAATCTGACTGAGCCTGACTTTTGGCTACCCACGTCTTCCGCGCTTCCATCGCCTTTCCCTTTTCTCTCGGCTTGCTCTCAATTTTTCTGCCTGACCCCCCCTTATCGACTAAATCCTTCCTCCATCCCCGATCTAGCCAAGGGCAGAGAGATCAACGCCCAGAATTAAGAGTATTGCCTGTCAACCATACATTGTCGTCACTCGGAGCAACCAATTAATCGATCTGGAGTCGGACTGTGTCAATCATTCCGCCCAATTCCAACCCACGCACCACTGCCAATCACACGTCCAACAACACCCACCCACCATCTCTCTTCTCAATCTCATCTGATCGAGCGCAAGGGGCGGACAAAAAGTGAATTTTAACAATTCCAGGGGCATAACCATAGTTTTGAGGGCAAGGCCGCAAAGCCGCAATCATAATTAGAAGACAACCCAGAAAACTTCGAGCACGGCCCCCTTCTCTTGATCTCCTCGCCTCGGTCGATCAACGCGAGAATCGAGACAAGACGAGACAATCCGCAAGAAAACCAGAGACGCTATCCCGAACGCGCTCCGCTTCACCCTGTCTGCAGCTGCAGCCACCGCTGCCCGCATCAACGTACTCGTACCAAGACGCCAGATCCATACCTTTTTGGCTTTCCTTCACACTACATGCAGTACGCCGCCAGTACCTGACAGCTACCTCGCGACCGCTGCTGGTCATCCTGCATGAACACAGACGCCGACCTCGCTGGTTCTGGACACCGGACGCTCCAGAGTCTCCCTGGCTCTATCCACCACTCGCAGTTGGTCGCCCGCGCCTTTCCTCGTGCGTCTGCGGTCCCGTAGCCGTACCAAACCACCATACCTTGCCAGGCACGCCAGGCTTGTCGACCTTACCGACTCCGTGTACCTGCGCCAACGTCTGCTGGTCACGTTCTCGTTCTCGCCGCCAGTGTTCAGTACTAGCGAAAAGACGCGACCCTTTCCGGGCCTTTCTCTACACCCGACCCAGAGTGAGATCCTATCCCTTTCCTCGCCAATCCGCCGACACTCGTGGGCCGTGGTGCAGCCCGGATCCCGATCGACGCACGGTAAGGGGGGCTCGCGGCCGCCCTAGTTCACCGTTTCCATTGTTCCTGCTGGGTCTGTCACAGTCACCGTCGCAGTCGCAGTTGCAGCTGCCACCCGGACCCTCTTCTCATCCCATCTCACCACCCGTTGGGTTGTTTGTACGTACAGAGTACTCTTGCTGTACGACTCTGCTTCTGGAACGGTACTGCATACTGCACGCTGCACACTGCACACTGCAGCCTTTCTACCTGCTGCCCACCACACGCACGCCGCCCCGACCGCCCGCCCTTCGCAGCAGTCAGTCCAGCAACTGTTCCGTGCCCTCTCCTGGATCCTGAGGCCGGTTCCGTGTCGTCCTGCGCTCGCGTGGTCTGCTGGTCTGGTTCGGGCACTTTGGTCTGGTCTGGCGTGGTCCGTCGACTACCCGTAACCTCTTTCTTTCTCCCTGCGTCGCCATGGACGACTACGATCCAAACTCAATCCCCCCTATCCCCCAGCGCTACCGGAATCTTCAAACCCCTGAGCCTCAACCGCGGAACCGCTCTCTTCCACCACCTCCTCCGTCGCGCCACGCCGATGCTATTCCCAGCTCTCCCGAGGTCATCTCTTCTCTCATCACCAGCTTTGCCGTCATAACCAAGCCCGCCGATCAACACTTTGAGCGCAGCACCCCGAGCCTCTCAGTTCCCGCAACCCCTCGCCAAGGCAGCTTTGGAGTCGACTACGGCGCCTTTCACCAGCCCTCCCTCGAACAACTCCGGAAAGAAGACCTGCCACTCGACGAGATCGCCGCATCCGCCCCCGTTATTCGAACCGCCAAACCACCCTCCGGATTCTCGCCCTTGACCGCCCCCAAGTCCTCACCCGCCCGCGACGGATCCGGTGGCCTCAAGTCCCTCTTGCGAAGTTCTTCGAGACCCTCTTCCAAAGGCTCACTTGGGTCACGGGATGATGCGCAGAGCATAGGCAATCTTTCTGTAGAACGTGGCTCTGCGCCCACCCCAGAGCTCAAGAGACAGCGCTCATTTGACAGTTGGGGTAAGAAGCAGGGCAGAAGTCACAGGGGATTGATGTACATGAGTTCCAAGGAGCGACTACGAGAAAAGGAAGAGAAGAAGCGCGCGAGTATTGGCGACCGCAGTTCCAGCAGCTTCACCGGAGCCTCCCTACGACCCGATCCCTTCCTAGCCGAGACGCCCATCAGCGAAGAACCTACCTCCACACCAGACTCTCCCACCCGTGGAAGCGCCCGCAAACACCACGAAATGGCGAGCCCAGGCCCCGAAACCACCACCAGCCCTAGAACGATACCCGCGCGAGACTCGTCTCTCTTCAAGACGGGAGCGAATGCAAAGAGATCCTCTACGAGATCCTCTAGATCAAAGAGAGAAAGCGCCAATAGCACCAACGAAATAATATTTGAAGGAGAGGAACAGACCTCTTCAAGGGAGGCACCGAGGCGGAAACACTTGTCTCGCCACGCTTCCGAAAACGACCTCGCTAGAGCATCGGCCGACGCATCCGGAAGGTCTTTCAGCCGCCCATTCTTCGAATCCAGGCATACCGAGAACTTTCTATCAACGAGACCGTTATTTGAAGAAGAGGACGTGGAGGATAGTGCACCGTTCCCCGCTGTCGCTCAAGGTCGTCGTCGGGATGAGCAGATCGCCGACCGGAATAGTAGGCGCAAATCAACACGCGAGGCCCCAGACGCAGGTGAAGCCATTAAGATGAAGCGCAGTAGCTCCAGGCTTAAGCGGCTATCTCAGCCGCTGAGTCCCAAGGGAGATGAGTCGCAGGCGAGCTCACGCAACTCGGCAGCCTCGCCCGATCCACGCAACAGCATGCCAGCAGGGTATGAGCGTCCCCGCAGTGCAGACTCGATTGACGACGCCGTCGAGTCGTATCTGTGTTCTCCTCGCCTGTCACAAAAGATCCGACACCCGCAGACCGGGCGTGTGATTTCCTTCTCCGAGGTGGGAGATGCAGATGGCTCGGCTGTGTTTTGCTGTGTGGGGATGGGATTGACGAGATATATCACGGCCTTTTACGACGAGCTCGCGTTGACGCTGAAGCTTCGCCTCATTACACCCGACAGACCTGGCGTGGGCGATAGCGAGTCGTACGCCGATGGAACCGCGACGCCGCTCAGCTGGCCCGACGACGTTTATGCCATTTGTCAGGCGCTGAAGATTACCAAATTTTCGATTCTCGCCCACTCTGCCGGCGCCATTTATGCGCTGGCTAC